GAACAGCCACTGGAGAGCTGAAGATAAAAAAGCAGGAGACGATGCGACAGCGAAATTGCTCAAGGTCGAACAAGAGATGATTTGAATGCATTTTTTGCAATCGACGGGGACGGAAAACAGATCCCAGGAGATGCTTCAAGTGCCTAGGATTAGGGCACATCACCATCAGGTGTATGATGCCATGATAAACCAGGCAAATGCTATAACGGGGGAACCAGCTATGCATCAAAAGCATGCCAAGAGGAACCAGCGTGCATACTACCACTAACCAAACAACATATGTTGTTATGTTGTTTGGTTAGTGATACTACTCACTCGAAAGGGACAGAACAACACGGGACATAACATCCTTAGCAGGTCATGTCCATAGTTTGTAAATGCCGCAAATAAAAGGAACTAAAAAATGAAGCTACTACAGCTTAATTTAAACCAAAAGGATACCAGCCGACGTGTCATTACTGAGCGAACCTTAAACAGAAATGTCTGAAAAGATTTGGGTCCAAAACACCGAACATGGTTTGGCTACATGGGGCTACGGAACCCCATCATTCCTAGTACGCGACAGGAAAACGGGCCTGGGATACGCAAGAGCCAAGATCGGTGGAATCTATTGGTGCAGCCGTTCTCTGGCTGCTACCATTCATCTCGACGAATCTGCACGAATGCTGGACGAACTAATGGTAAACGCACTTCCTACTGTTTATTGCCGACAATTTCAACTCGTTGGCTGTGGACTGCGGAAGTGCCAGGACGAACCCACATGGCTGCATGGACCGAGCACACCTTCACCAAGGCAAGCCCTTCAATACCAAGTCGGACTACATGGGAGGTGTCCCAAATGTACACACAAAGTGACACCCAGCATATTGTCAGCAGTTCTAATGGACGACAACTAAACCCGACAGGCAGAACACACCACATCGCTTGGGACCCTGAGACGCTCAGTAAAGTGCCACTCTTAGTGGTGTTTGAACCCACCGCAATTATTGGAAATACAGATCAGTGCACCTAACACACGTGCGATGCAGCATAACTTGCTAGAGGAGCTACATTTTGATGAAATTGGGAGCAAATTAAACGATGATTTTGAGCGACGTCAATCTAACGGCCTGTCCCGCTCAACCTTTCCTCGTCATGGGGACTTGCCAAACCAAACCGTGATCTTGGTCAACAGAACGCGTCTGCCCGAGCTCAAATTACCAACGTTTACCGGTGACTATACCAATTATTCGGAGTTCATCACGATATTTGAGTCAGTTGTCGACAAGGATCTTCGCTCATGTTTGTCAGGCCTTGCATTGGATTCGGTTCGATCTTTGGAGTTTTCTGGTGCCAATTATCGTGTGGCTCTTGATATCCTAAATAGAAGATTTAGTAACGAGCGTCTTGTTTTACAGGCACATATAAATGAGATTCTTAGGCTCAAAATGGTATATTCGGAGTCGGTTTCAAAACTGCGTGAGTTCTTGGACAAGGTCGATTCGCATATGCGAGTTATCACCCAGCCCGCAAGGCAATTCTTATTGCAATCATAAGCAACATTTCAGTAAAAGTCGCTATCCCAATTACTTAGCTCTTTCAGACTTATTAGACACGTTACAATCACTACGTCCACTTAACGCACAGCCGCAGCTCTGCTAACATAAATATACAGATCTGCTAACATAAATATACAGATTCCCACTTAACATAAAGATTCATATTCTCATGCGCAATTCATAACGTAAACTAAAGACCCAGTCTCTAGAACGCAATTGCTAACGTAAACATGACTCAAAGCGTCTAGCTTACGCAAGCCACCCCCGCGAGCTTTTAAACTTTAAGGAAAGAAGCTTTATCATAACCATAGCTGACTTGCAGCATAAGTTCACAATTGTACTTTAGTTCTAATCTTGGATTCAACTAAATCGGAAGCCTTCAGCCTCCCACTTAAAAATATATTTTTTTCCAATTAGTAGCCACTAATCCGTTAATTGGCGCCCAACGTGGGGCTCGCGATTATAAACACAAAAAAAGGATAATTAAAAGAAACAAAATCCTTAGTGATTCGCGAGTGAGCAAAAATGCCGATTTTCCAGTCCAAGATTGCCTCAAAAGAGCATCAAAAATTTGCTAAGAACGAAAATATCGAGTGCCTCTAAAAGAAACATTAAAAATTTCCGACGAACAGAAATATCCTGTTTCTGAAAACTTGTAGAGTAGTGAAAATACCCTGAGCTAGAAATATTAATTGTTCACTAGACTTAAAAGTGATATCACATTTCCCGTTCAAGTTAAATGAAAACATTCCAAAAAATTAATCGATCAAAGAAGCGAAACGAATATTTTCGCCAACAAAATTTTTTCACCAATCAAAAACTTTTAACCAAATAAAAAATATCACGTCAACCTGAGACCCCCATAAAAGAAGACCCTAAAACCCAGAAGGACGAAAGGAAGGAAGGAATGAAGACTTGAACGACATATATATAATCACCCATAAAGAAAGATCTTTTACGTGGGCCATCATCATTTACTTTAAAAAAAATAAAAAAATTTTTTTTTACTTAAGTAATGAGAGTTTAAATTTGTGTAAGCATTTGTTAGAATAATAAGTGTTATATATATAGAAAGTTTGATTGAAGATTTTCAAAATTCAAAAATGGCTAACAATAATAAATTGACAGCTGATTTGGTAGCTCAGTTGATTGCGACTCAGACCAGAGCGCTTCAAGAGCAAATTGCAGAATTGAAGTTACAAATCACGCTCTCATCTAATAATGAACAAGAATATAAGATTACTGAAATAAATGACCTTATTCGTTGCGATGAATCTTTTGATGTTATCAAGTCCATACCAGATTTCTCAGGCAGCTATAATGCATATGTTAGTTGGCGCGAAGCCACTTGCTGTGCCATGCGAATGTATAAAGAAGGAAGTAGGAAGTACGTAGGTGCTTTAACAATACTGAGAAATAAAATAACAGGTAAAGCTAATGATACCTTGACTAATCACGGTACCGTTCTTAATTTTAAAGCTATACTTGCAAGGTTGGATTTCGCCTACAGTGATAGACGACCAATCTACATAATAGAACAGGAGTTAAGTATTTTACGACAGGGTAACTTATCCGTTCTCGAATACTACAATCTAGTTAATAAAAAATTAACCCTTTTGATAAACAAAACTATTATGACGTATGGTGACAAAGCCGACATCATTACGGAAATGAACAAGAAAAACAGAGACAACGCTTTAAGAATTTTCATCACAGGTCTTAACGGTTCTTTATCAGAAGTTTTGTTCTCCCTTAAGCCTGAAAATTTGCCTAATGCTTTGGCAAAAGCTCAGGAACTGGAAGCAAATTACCAAAGGGCTAACTTCGCTTACCACCATTTCGCAAATACCCATCAACGTAACAATCTAAACCCAGGGCATAACAATCAGCAAAAGAAAGCTGAAACCCCAAAACAACCTAATAAAAGATATGACAATCACTTAAGGTTCAATCAAGTTCCGCAAAATCAAATTTTTGCACAAAGCAATAAGACTCCTCAACCTCCTACGGAGCCCATGGATGTAGACAAATCCATACAACTACAGAATACACCTTATCCGTATCCCCAAAATCGAAATTCGGCTCAACCAAAGAAACGGGAATATACGAATACGGTTCAGCAACCTAACAAACTCATGCGTATCAATAACCTCGAGGAAGGCCATTTTTTAGAAGAAGGGGGGGAGAGCTCCCCCACATTTTTAGAGTAGACAAAAAAATAAATAAAATTTTAAAAATATTAATTGACACCGGTGCCGCTTGTTATATAAAAGAGGGTATATACGATAACGCAGAAGAATTAGTTATAAAAAAAAGAATTAAAACTGTAAATGGCTACAGTATCATAGCTCATTTTCATAACATAAACATATTTGGCAAATATTAGTCGGTTATATTATACTGAAGGAGATTAAGGCAGTAATCGACTTGTCAATGGGAACTTTGTTTTATAATAACAAAAAGGAAAATATTAATTTTACAAAACATGTCCAAGAAACGGTTGGCCATTTAAAATCTAGTTCAGACGAAGCCTATAACGTTGCTTCGTATTTGAACTACCAAAGTGGGAAATGTAAATTATTTTCTTTATTTAATGTATCCGATACAGAATCATCGTATTTAAGTGACGCTGATAACCCACGTATCGAAAAAACTAAAGTTGACGATATTCTTAATGAATGAAAGCTAAAGATTTTAAAACTCAAAAAGAGAAGACGTCGAAAGATGTCGGTATCCTCTACAACAAGTTCTTCTTTATGCAAAATAAATCATTCCATTAAGGAAATGGATAATTTGAATATCCTTGAGCAACAAGTCGTTCAACAAATAGAAACAAAGCATACTCAGATTCAAACATGTCTCCCTTTTAGAACAGATATTAGAGGAGAGATAAGAACATTAAACGAAAATGCAATTTATAGTAAACAATATCCTTATCCTCATTCAGCTTACAATTTTGTTAGTCAGGAAATAAACAGGATGTTAAATGAAAATATAATAAGGCCCAGCAGAAGTCCTTATAATGCCCCGGTATGGGTAGTAGGGAAAAAAGGTTTTAATGAAGATGGAACGCCTAAGAATCGATTGGTAATAGATTTTAAGAAACTGAATAACGATACAATACCCGATAGGTATCCAATGCCTGATCCTTCAGTCATTCCATCCAACCTAGGCAAAGCCAAAATGTTTTCGACAATTGACTTAGAATCGGGATTTCATCAGATTCTGATGAAAGAAGAAAACATCGAAAAAACAGCTTTTTCCATTAACAATGGAAAATATGAATTTCTTCGTTTGCCATTTGAGCTTGCGAACGCGCCAAGCATCTTTCAGAGAGCAATGGACAACATATTACGTGAAAAAATCGGAAAAACTTGTCACATTTATATGGACGACATAATAGTTTTTTCAAATACCCCGGAACAACATTTTGATGATTTACAAGAAATCATTGAAATTCTATTCAAAGCAAACATGAAAATTTCCTTGGAAAAATCAAAATTCTTTAGAAAAGAAATAGAATTTTTAGGATACATAGTATCATACAATATCATTAAAACTGATCCGAAAAAAATAGAATCAATCATGAAATACCCTCCTCCTAATAATTTAAGGGAATTACGAGGTTTTCTTGGCTTAACAGGCTACTACAGGAAGTTTGTAAAAAACTACGCGACTATAGCAAAACCACTCACTAAATTGTTACAGGGACATAACGGTATGGTTTCAAAACATATGTCCAAAAAAACAGAAATATCTCTAGACGAAGAAGCAATGTCTGCGTTTGAAAACTTAAAATCACACTTGATTGCAAACATCGAACTAACTCAGCAAGATTATACAAAAAAGTTCGTCCTCACCATAGACGCTTCCGACATCGCCATTGGCGCCGTCCTTTCACAGAAAAACAAACCAATCACCTTTGTCTCAAAAACCTTAAATAAAACACAAAGAAATTACGCCACAAATGAAAGGGAACTATACGTCATTGTATGGGCATTAAAAAACCTTAAGATATACCTGTATGGTGTTACAAATTTAAAAATCCAAACAGACCATCAACCACTTTCTTTTGCGGTTTCTGCACGAAACCCTAACTCAAAAATGAAAAGATGGCACGCTTTCATAGACTTACTTACTTCTAAAAACAACATAAAAACATGTTTCTAAAAACAACATAACAATTCACGAAAAATATGAAGTTTTCAACAAAACAAGACATAGAATACGACACAGTACACAATTTAATAATCATACTTAAAGAACTTCTTCAAACCTGACTACAGGAGTTCATTGCAGTCTCGAAGATTTATACGAAATCCAAAACTCATTAAAAAACACTTTTAACAACAAATTTTTATTTACTAGAAAGTTTGTTCTAGGCATCGAAAACAAAAATGACCAAGAAATTATAATAGAAAAAACACATGCTCGTGCTCATAGAGCTTTGGACGAAAATCTTAAACAAATTCTCAAATACTATTATTGGCCAACACTATATAAAACACTTAAGCAACACATACGCTACTGCGAAATTTGTAATAAAAATAAAATAACAAAAACCCTAAGCAAATTCCTATTTCTAAAGCCCCTATTCCGGAGAGAGAAGGTGAACAATTACATATTGACATATTTTATGCTCAAAAACTAACATTCTTGGCAGGCCTAGACGCATATTCTAAATTTTTAGTGATTAAGGAAATCAATGACAAATCAGATATGGCAAACAAAGTGTTGGAACTTATCCAAACTTTTCCTTTCGCTAAATCCATAATGATGGACAACGAACCTACGTTTTCCTCGACACAATTTAAATCGTCAATGTCTCGTTCAGGTATAGCGATTTATCATGCAGACCCCAGACCCAGTTTAAGCAACGGTCAGGTAGAAAGAGTTCATTCAACAATTATCGAAACTTGTTGTATTCAAGATGAATACAATATAATGGATCATTCCGAAGTCGTATACCGAGCAGTTAAAGAGTATAACAACACAATTCAATCGGCAACTCAACAAAAACCATGTGACATATTATTTAACAACATAGAACACCCAAAATTGTCAGAAACGAGTAGTAGAGTACCATAACAAAAAGCGGTCACCAAAAAATTACCAAGTAGGTGAAATAATTTATGAAAAAAAACATGGCGAACGAAACAAACTACAACCTAGATTCATAAAACAGGTAGTTAAAAAAGACAGGAAATAAAGTCAAAATAAACAATAGGGATCGTATTATTCACAAAGACAATATCAAATTCTAACCTATTTTATGTTTTTTTTTATGTATTTTTAGAATACACATTTTATGTATCTTATCTGTTATACTGCCGTTTTGCGGTGCAGACATTATTAATTATTCAAATGATGACTATGTCCTACTTGAGGATACAGATAATCTTTTTTTATACGAAGCATACGGAGAAGTTTTTCACGTTACTAATTTAAGTTTTTATAACGATATTTTTGAAAAAGTATTAAATTTTTTTAAAAACAAAAACAATACAATTGATTGGGAAGTAACCTTGGAATTGAATTTAATCAAAACACTCCTTTCTGAACTTACACCTCACAAAATTGCCAAACGTAGTATCAATGAACTAGACACAATTTTTAAATGGATCACAGGAACACCAGACCATGACGACATGATAACTATTCAAACTAAAATCAATGAACTTGTTCAAAACAATAATATGCAAAATCAAATCAATTCTGCAATTTTCAAAGAAGTCACTAAAATCACAAATCTTTTAAGATACATTAAATTTAATCAGGAATTATTTATGAAAAAAGATTGACTTAAGTTGTTATCACTTGACCTACAAAATCTACTGGATACTATCACATATTTCAAAGCCGCAATATTGAATCCAAAAATCTTAAATAAACAAGACATGATAAATATATTTAATCACGAAACACTCAATATCATTCTAATCGATCTTTTAGACATTTCCTCATTTTCGATCGTTTCATACCAAGGTTTAATAATAGTTTTTATAAAATACCCTACAATTAATTACAATTGTAAGTTATACCACGCTAAAGCCATATCCCAAACAGATGGAAAATTTTTCGTTAACGACAAAATTGCTAAATGTAATAACACGTTTTACCTCATTGATAACTTTAAAAGAGAAATTTATAATAGTTTTGCCCACATTAATTTTGAACCAAACTGTTTTGTAAATCTCCTTAATAAAAAATTTACAAGTTGTATAAAATTATCCGAAAAAAATAAAACAATAGAATTTATAACAGTATTTTAGTATCAGGCACAAACTGTATTAACGAAACCTAGCTTACAGGCATTTACCTTGTTACATTTAAAACCATAGTAACCATAAACAATGTTACCTTATTCTTAATTATGTAAAACACAATAAATTCACAAACTACTTAGTTAGTGAATATCAAGTTACCAATAATACTGAACTTCAATTAGAAAATACAAATATACTATCACAAATTGTTATAAAATTAGAAAGTAATCATTCAAAAATAACCTTTTTATTATTTATACTTATTTTTATTTTTTCTATGGTAAACCTTCTTAAACGCTGCCCTTTAATAAATCTTAATCCCCTCAAAATACTGAAATTGAAACCGTCAAGTAATCAAAAGTACCATAACACTCAAACTACAGAAACAGAGCTTGACATATTAAACCAATTAAACGAACAAATTGAATCTTTAAAAAGAAATCATTAAGAATCGGGGACGATTCTTTTTAAGAAAGGGAGGAGTTATCACCCAGCCCGCAAGGCAATTCTTATTGCAATCATAAACAACATTTCAGTATAAGTCGCTATCCCAATTACTTAGCCCTTTCAGACTTATTAGACCCGTTACAATCACTACGTCCACTTAACGCACAGCCGCAGCTCTGCTAACATAAATATACAGATCTGCTAACATAAATATACAGATTCCCAGCTCTAACATAAACATAACAGCGCAACCACTTAACGTAAACTAAAGACCCAGTCTCTAGAACGCAATTGCTAACGTAAACATGACTCAAAGCGTCTAGCTTACGCAAGCCACCCCCGCGAGCTTTTAAACTTTAAGGAAAGAAGCTTTATCATAACCATAGCTGACTTGCAGCATAAGTTCACAATTGTACTTTAGTTCTAATCTTGGACTCAAATAAATCGGAAGCCTTCAGCCTCCCACTTAAAAATATATTTTTTTCCAATTAGTAGCCACTAATCGGATTATCAGGTGGACAAATCCAGCCATAGCACTAACCAAAGCAGAAGTGTGCTTGTAGTTGGGACTAACCAAAATGGGTGCAATTTTTGTAATGCATCTGGTCACGGTATCTACACATGTAGTAAAAAAAAACTTGTCTCCATCCCTTCGCCATAAGGAAGTGCCTAAAGAAGGGACACCAAACTCGGTCGTACTTGTGGAGGAAAGCATCATACACTGTTGCATTTTGCTGCTTCAAGAGAAGCTGAAGCTCACTCCACTACCTCCCTTGCTGTCCAAGATCTTTAGTCTGGTGTAGTGCTCCTGGCCATTGCAGTAGTACTGGTAAAGAATAGTTCTGGTTTCCTGTAGGGCCTAAATAGACTCAGGCTCGCAGTTGCACATGGTCACATACCGTTTCACAAAGAGACTTCAGTTATGAAAAACCAGGTCGTCGACAGTTTTCATGGGTCTCGAAAACACAAGCGTCTCTGCTGAAGTATCAGCTGTTAAACTTCACATTAAGTCACAAGACTCAGATTACTCAGCCTGCGTTGATACTCTTGTGACTCCAAGAATTACCAACAGTCAGCCTAGTTTCATCATCGATACATCAGACTGGAAAATTCCCTCTAATATAAGAAATTTAACTGAATAATTGTAGCGAGTCTTTTCTATGAGCTTTTGTCTGTTGGGCAAATTGTGCTTTTCCCAGGATTTTGCAAAAGAACTCGTCTTGGCTGGGTCGTGGCCGGTGGGTTTGAAACTCTGCGCAGAATCTCGTTGTTGGCTGCTGGCCCAACTTCGGATAGCGAAGCTAGCTTTTTGAACTTTCGTCTGGATTAGTTGGTTCGGCGTTTCTGGGAAGCTTAAAACTTGGAAGAGCCGTATTAAAAGCCACCAAAGAAGAGTTGGAATGGGAGCAGCACTTTGCCAATAAATTTTCTCGCTTACCGTCCGGCGTTCAGTGCGGTTGCCTTTGAAGCGGACTGCAGAGGAGAGTCTTATGGTCAGGCTTATCGTCGCTTTCGCAGTGTTGATCGAAAATTGCGTTGGAATTTGCTTCTGGATGAGCAGTATTTGGCATTCATAAAAAGTTTCTTGGTCTGAATCACATGTCGCGAGCTAGACCATAGTTGAGTAGCTGTTGTAAATACTCCCTTCCACATCATCGCGTCGTGCAGGAAGACAGCACCGCAACCAAGTTGCGGAGAGTTTTTGATGGATCAATAACGACTGATTCTAGACATTCTCTTAATAATGTACTGATTGCGGGACCAATTATTCAACCAAAGTTGTTTCAAAGTTGGGTGGGCAGTATGTTGGATTCTGCAACAGCCACATCAAATCAGCATATGCGAACATTCATATAAATATATGTAAACAAGGTTAGCAAGCCTTTCTTGCACTTTTCGCCGCTGCTATAAATTGTATTTTCTCTTCTTCTATGACACACACTAGTTCGTTGTTGATCAGCGCGAAGTGATGAATATTTTCTGAGCCACAGCCAAAGGATCCGACTCTAACAATAGCTTTATCATGG